GTACACTGTAGGTCCATGAACATTGTATGTATGAACGTACATGTACATGTATGTCAGCATGACACAATATTGAATAATCTAGCCTCTTTATTCCTCCAGTTTTGTTCCACAGAGTAATTTGTCAAAATGTTACCTCTCTTTCGATACTCCATCAAGTTGACAGTGATAGCCATGAAATCCTGTCTAAAAGTACAACCTACAGTACTGGTACCCTGTACATGCACTATGAGCCCTGCTGATTACTGCCAATGCACAATCGGGCTGTCATTTCTCCTGAATAAAAGCACAAGGCACTTTGACTTCGACTGTGTAAACCAATAACATTCAAAAGCCCATTCTCTGATGACCAATGTCAACTACCAGGTACATGTACCAACAGTATAGCAAATTAACATATTTTACAATGCAAGACTGATTACCACTGAAAAAGTCTTTTGAACAAGAAGTCTTGCACAGTGTATTTTGAAAAGCTACAGCAGAAAAAGAACTAGTGGTACCGTTGCTTTCATTTATTTTTCAGCCAATTTAACATTGTAGGCACAAGTCCTGTGGGGTAAATGCTAATAATTACGCTCCATGCCATCACCAACATGCATACTGTATTACATGTGCCTACAGAATTCAGACCTACCGGTACATGTATGTAATGAATTTCTTTAAAAGTTTGGAATTTAAGTTTTGAATAGACTGGTCTACATGTACCATCTTGAAAAAGAATCATCATTCATTGCCAATGCCCAACCTGAAAATGGATTAAAATTTCTCTTAAAAAGTGCTGAGTCATGCTTTGCTGGGAAAGGAAGCTAGCAGTCTCTGAACCTTCGTCAATGTGTGTCAGCACTTTTTGATTATTTAGGTTTTCAGTTGATGTTTCCTGCAATGCTATCTCTGGTTTTCCTCTTATTTTAGTAAGGTACCCGTATGTAACAATGGACAATGTTCCACAGTGATTTTAGCAATTACTGTAATTCAGATTTTATTTAATTATTTTATCTATCCTGAATCAGTTAAGAAACCCTTACTGGATGGAAACCATGTACACTTAGATATTGGCACATCTTGGGAAATGGCTTTTTTTGTCATTGCTTTTTTTCAAAATGACAGTTTGCCTGAAAGAATTAGGCCTATTCCACGGGGAGCTTGGACTCATAACTGTCTTTAATCAAACCAAGTATGTTTTTCCACAATACTTTTGTTGGTTACTTTATGGATGGCTGCAAACGTGAAACGTTACATTTAAAACTCGCAGTATTTAGATCATTTTGTTACTGGCTTCGGTTTCACTGCGTAATGACCAACATTTCTGATCCCAATGAGACAGAGATAAAAAAGCAATTGATTGACAATTTAACCCTAACTCCTGAGCCCCTTTTTTTGCTGGGACCCTCCTCAATCCTCCAGAATCCTCCAATTTAGGAGGTAAAAAAATTGGATTTTTCCCTCAATCCTCAAAAATTTCTTGAAAATATTACTTGGAAGTGTGCCTACTGCATCAATCCTTCACAATCCTCCAGCAATTCCTGTCATTATGTTGAGGCAGTGCGAATGGCAGAATCTTGAGCAGTGCGGTTGATTCAAAAGAAATATCTGGTTGAATTTATGCATGACGGAGCAAAAACAACACAAGGTCTAACCCACGACCTTCATGCATGACATCCTTTGCAATAAGCCATCCTCCAAAATCCTCAAACCGCCTGAAGGATATTGGAGGATTGAGGAGGGTTAGGGTTACCAAACGCAAACATTTTGAATAAAAACATTTTAATCAAAACAACTAGCTTGAAATGAACAAAAGTCTCTGCCAACCCAGATTGTTTGTTACAGGCGTGTCCATAAATATTCAGCATATTTGTATGTAGTTTTTATTACATGTATGTGAAACCTGGAAAAACTATACCAGTTGAAACAACATTGCCATTTTCAAGAAAGTTTGAAATGCTGATTTAAATCAATGCTTTTTTGTAATCATTTGATTAAAACACAACTTTAATCAATGATTCATACAAAGGTGATTTAAACTGGCCAACCCACACAAAAAGTGTACTGACAGCAGAAGGATTGACAGATTGTGCTCTACATTTGATTAATAGCCTAGTAACAGACCAACTGTGCAAACCAGTAGGGAGCCTAAGTCAATTTCTTAATCATCTTTACATTAACTGCTAAGAGTTCCATATGGACGGTAGTAATTATTCCCTACAGTGACCCATTAGCCTTCAGAAAGCAAAAACATGTCCAGAAAAGTTCAATTTAGAAAGGGAAAAACCACGCTGTTTACTTGGAAAACACTTAGACTTTTTCAGACCAGTCTCATAGGGTTTGTGCACGGGGTGTTGAGTGGCGTCTGCATATAACTCTTTCCATTAATTCATTAACTAACTAACATTTATCTCCAAAATTGGCAACAAAACAGGAAAGAGTTCCATATATGAATATCGCTTTACACCCTATAGAAGAATCCTACATATAAGATCTGGTCTGGAAAATTTTAATTTTTTTCTGAGTAATTGCTTCGATATAATTTCCCCTGCTAAATTTGACTTTTTAGGACGTTATCACTTTCTAGTGGCTGATGAATCGTAGAGAAACATTAGTCATGCCTGTATGGAACTCATCCCACAAAACCGGGCAAAAAATCCATACTCACTGGCCACTTTCCCAGGACTACACGTATATTGTATTGTCTACAAATTCACGAGCAAAACACTTAAGACTTGCAAATCTTTTAAAGAGCACCTCTTACGAAAACCTGTTCTTTGATTTCATCTGTTCAAATAAATATGGAAGCATACAAATTGAACGCAGTGTCACGTGTCTTCAGAGCTCAACTGTAACAAGCTAAAAAAAGTTTTTTTCTGTTCATGCCAAGATGCGAATTCTGAATGTACTGGTAGACTACGTCATTCAAAGAAAACAGAGAAAATGAGAGGAATCCTCGCCCTGTGTTCGTAGTGGATAAACCCTTGTGCCTACCAAACAATGGCTACATACATCGCTTGGCATGAGGGTTTCCCTCGTTTTCTCTGTTTTCTCCGAATGACACAATCTACATTCAGCATTCGCATCTTGGTACAAACAGAAAAAAAAGCCCTTCTTAGCTTGTTATACTGGGTAGTTGAGCTTTGAAGACAAATTACACTGCGTTCGATTTGGATGCTTTCATATTTATTTGAACAGATGCAATCAGAGAAAACACGTTTTTCTCAGAGGTGCTCTTTAAAACTGTACGGAAGTTGAACACGTAGGCTTTGGTAATAAATTTAGGATTATTTTGAGCATTAATTTACATATAAACTAAAGGTTGGAAGCTGCCATAGCCATCATGTTGAGAAAAACGGTATCAAAGAAAAGCTTTTTGGTTTTTCCAAGTGAAATCAGAAGGGGCCCCTTCATTTAAACCTGTCCCTGTAAGTTACTAAATCCCCTTTCACATCTGTAGCCCCCCCCAAATTGTATTGTTACCTTTTTTTAAATTGTCAGGGCTCAAAAAATGTCAAAAAAGTGAACAATGTTTTTATTGAGTATGGAATTCCCCCCCCCCATTTTCGAAGGGAGATACACGTAAATTATTAGCATAATTCCGACTTCAGACTATTACACAGACACAGGTACATGTACGACATCAGCATGTACTCAGCACAACCACCCTTCGATCGTAGCCCCACTAGTGGGGCACGGACTCTCACTCCCGATCCAGCCTTAGCCACACATCCGTATGCGCAATTTCGTGTCGGCGTACTGAACATTTTTGGCGCACCCACTTATAATCGTTGGCGCAATTTTTTTTGCATACTAACATGATTCTTGACCTTTCCGTTTTCTAAATACCGTTTATTGAATGATTTCACTCACGTTATTCAGGTATTTTCCAGTCTTTTTTCCTTTATCCATTCGATCTAACGGGCTCACTCTCACAGTCGCCATCTTTAAAATAAGGTCGTTGAGCATTACGTCACTTGACCCCTCGTCGTCACAGTGGCTGTTCCATGTCAAGACATGTAAACTGCTGCCAAAGTTTTGGAAGAGTCCATTGGTACATGTAGTATCTTATCGCTCAAGCTGCTGAGACGACAAGAGGTCAAGTGACGTAATGCTCAACGACCTTATTTTAAAGATGGCGACTGTGAGAGTGAGCCCGTTAGATTGAATTGATAAAGGAAAAAGACTGGAAAATACCTGCATAACGTGAGTGAAATCATTCAATAAATGGTATTTAGAAAACGGAAAGGTCAAGAATCATGTTCGTATGCAAAAGAAATTGCGCCCACGATTATAAGTGGGTGCGCCAAAATGTTCAGAACGCCGACACGAAATTGCGCATACGGTTTACGGATGTGTGGCTAAGGATAAATCGGGAGTGATCCGTGCCACACTAGTGGGGCTAATTCGATCGTAGCCTACCTACCCCGGCCATCCTGGTTCACACCTCTGTCTTCAGTTCTGCCTTCTTCTGCTTCCATTTGGCCACATTGTTTTCAACCCCTATGCCGCAGAAGGATCTACCGTGGAACAATTGAACGGCTTCCTGCAATGAAGGCAGTGAGTGCAGCAGATGGCTGACCGGACTGCAGGGGAATCTTTGATTGTCAGAAACATATCATGTGCCTCGATCGAGATTTATACCGTCACATCGCCGATCCGTGCCGAGGGTGGTTAACGCGAAACAACTGAGTTAGACAAGATAAGAACAGGTGTCTGAAATAGCGCCCCCAATAATTTTTAGTTCGCCCCCTCAAAATCAAATACCGGTAGGCCCTACAGCCTTAGCAAGTGTGGTGACTGAAAATGGTATTTTGCTTAAAAAATACGTTTGAGAACACCTTACAAATAATTGATATTTGGCATCTTTTTGTGGCCCATTGATTCCCCGCAAGGTTTAGTTTGACAATGACAAAAATACTTTGAACCACTGGACCAAAAAAACCCCTGATACACTGGCACTCCGCCCTCCATCGATGCCTCGTAAATGATTGATCACGTGATTACTATGACAACATTATGCTTGCAAGATGGCGCTCGCTGACAAGTGGGGAGTTGCGGGATTGTCCTGTAATTTTTAACTGAGGACAGCAAACCCGAGTATTGCAGGTGTTAAAAGCTTTGTTCGCAAAATAATAAGATGGAGGTATCATCTGACGGCATCAATCTGTAAACATTCGTTTGATAGCGAAATGAGGTTAGTCAAGTCTAGCTGACGGGCTTCGTCATGTTCGTTAGGCCTTAGCCCCACTGCCAGCACTGGCACTGGCACTAGTGTGGCACGGACTCTCACTTCCGCCCCACCTTAAGCCACACATCCGTATACTCAATTTTGTGTCGACGTACTGAAAATTTTCGGCGCACCCACTTATCATCGTGGGTGCAATTTCTTTTGCACACAGAGATGATCCTTAGCCTCTCTGCTTTCTTAGCGCCATTTATTGAATGATTTCACTCACGTTCTGGTATTTTCCAGTCTTTTTGCCTTCTCCCATTCAATCTCACGGGCTCGCTCTGACAGTCGCCATCTTTAAAATAAGGTCATTGAACATTATGTCTCTTGATCCCTCATCGTCTCGGCGGCTGTTCCATGTCGAGACATCTAAACTGCTGCCAAAGTTTTGGAAGAGCCCATTGGTACATGTAGGCCTAGTATCTTATCACTCAGTCCGTGTAGGCCTATTCGATATGTCTGGCGACTTCAGGGACATGGCGACTAAACCGTCATGCACGTTAGGACAGTAGACGTTATCTGCACTGCAATGCGACTAACATCAAGGTAGTCCGAGTAACTTGGACTCTACAAATTGTCTTTTTTAACATTTGGACATGGTCGGGCAATAGTAGGGTCCAAGTACCTTCCATAGGCTTTTGCTTCCACTTATTCATTTCACTCAAAATAGCTCGTACCCTGAATCAAAATCTTCAAATACACCTCAGGAATTAGTCGTCAGTACGTGTGTGCCGACATGGCATGCTTTTTGTGAATGGCTTGCGAGAGGTCGGTGCACCATGACATTGTCTCCAGGACATTAACGTACATGTACAGTTGAAATCGCTATTTGAAGAAGATTGACATCAAGCTCGATGACAATACAGTTTCCGATTTGAAGGGGAAATTTCTCTTTTCTTCCCAGATGTGAGTAAACCTTATCGTCCTTATTGAAATCTGATTCTCACTTGATCCTAAGCCAGCGTATTAGACACTTTAAGGACCAGTTTGGAGGTGAATTTGGAGGATTTTGACTTGGGATGCGAGCTTGTTTGAGTGAAATGAATTAGCAGAATGAAAAGCCTATGGAAGGTACTTGGACCTTATACTGTTGCCCAACCATGTCCAGATGTTTAAAAAAGGTGATTTGTAGCGTCCCAGTTACTCAGACTATGTCTAAAGTATAAAGTCCTCCTGCCAAAACAAAGTTTTTTTCAAAGTTATTTTCTCCAATTTTTACCCGGCAGGGGTAGCTCAAATGTCATTCATAATGCCTTGTAGGCTAGTAGGCTAGCCTACAAGGCTATCCTGAATTCTATTAATGCCGTGTTGAAATTGCTAAATATGCCAGCAGACGATGTATTTTGCAGGTTCGTGCAAGCCCTAGATGCTTTCCGTTTTAATTCATGAACGATCTACGTTTGATTAGTAATATGCATTTCACACATGTGCAAAATGCATGGCAACTGACCACCCGTTAAGGATTTACAATTCTTGTTACTTTCCATTTGTCTGTTTAAATGAATTTTTTTTTCAACCTGGCATTTTTCCTATTTGAGGAAGTCCCCCCCAAAAGGAGAAAACTGTGTATTAACTGGTTTAAATGTAGATGTACATGTACCTGCAGTTCTGTGTTCTTATTTGTATGGATGTGTGTATCTCGCAGACCCGCAGTATCCAGTAGGAGTCTGCCTACCATGTCAAACACAAGACAACAGCAGCATCAGCTGTCCGCATCTGATGAAGGGAGCACAGCAGGAGACTCCATACCCTATCGCCTGCCTAAAATTCCCTGCAGCCAGCAGCGAACCCACAGTTCGCCGAGCGCATGTTCAGAGAGAGTCACACGCAGTGAGCCAGCAGGCCTGGAGCAGCTGTACAAAGTGGACTACTTCGGGTAAAGTGGAAATGCAGTGGAAACTACTTTTATTGGCCATTTTTCACCCAATTTGAAGCACAGCTTATGCTTCCTTAGATATTGGCATCTCTGTTAATTGGCTCAGTGAACAGAGCATCGTGAACAGATAGTTATAATTTTGTTAAACCCATGATAACACTTATCAATGTGCGTTCTCTCTTGTCTTTCCCTGACATGTATTTGCCCATAATGCTTTGCTCCGTATCAACACTGCTTTCCTTAAAACTATGATTAAAATTGCTTTAATCAGCTTTTATCATCAATGAAAGAGTTTCGGGGCTTTTTTGTGCAGGTCAGACAGGTTAGAAAAGTATCTTGGTAAAAGGAAAACATTGCCGAGCCCACCCTACACAATAGCTCAGCTGCAACGGCAAGAGGGGATTCACATGCCCACCTTCCAGAAAGTGCACATTGAACCTGTCCTCCCCTGTGACAAAGTGGTAGACAGCAGTGGGGATGCAGTACCGGAACAGACCACTGGGAGAGCAAGGTGAGTCAGGCATGACATGGAGTTAAGGGGAGGGGGTGTTGTGTTCAAGTCCAAACCAAAGCGTGCGGTTAATTAGATAAACTTATATGTGGCCAACAAAGGAGTTACGGCAATTAAGTTGCCTCGTGTGATAAGTCTGACTCATTTGAAATACTAGGAATGCAGCAGCCACATTGCGTACAGTCACAAAGTTTATTTGCTGTGGGTAATATGTTTAGGACCCTGAAACCATGAAGAACTTGTGTCAGTGTTCTTTCTTTGATGACTTCTCAGCTTATCCAACAGGGACACAGTGACGTTACTGGGACTTGGTAGGCAGGTTTCTGGTAAACCACGGGAAAGCCCATCGAGTGTTGACAAGCCCTTTGCCTGGAGGCTGTCCCCACACAATCACAAAAATTACGATAATCAGGTGAGTGAAGAAAATTGGGGACTGAACGAATACGAGGGAGACGGTTCTGACTTGTCACTCCCTAGGAATTGATATTTCAACCTCACTTGCCACCTTACCAGTTGCCTTCAGTGCCGGTTGCTGGCAATCAAAACTTGCTGGTTGTTGGCAATCAAAACTTAAATTTCGAAGACAAAAAGGCTTGAACAACAACGCTGTGAAATTTGGTCCTCATGAGGTTACATGTTTCCAAGAAATGCAGGCATTGGTGCAAACAGATTAAACACTCATCTGGCAGTGATAACAGGCCATCCATTTTGAAATATCATTTTCATGAGTGTAGTACAAAGTACTTATTCAACTCCTTCCAAGATAGTATCAATGCTCTCGAAACAAAATCCTGTGCTGGGTTTTGTCATTATTAATATTTGGGGAAAGCTTACATGTACACTGCCTCTCCCTCATCCCAGCATACAGTTTGTGTACTCATGAAAATGATGGAAAGCTACTGGATTGCCCCCTTAGCTGGTTTGTGTTGCTATTTTCTGATCAGGATTCCTCTCATGCTGCCCTCTGTTGGTAGCTATTTTTGGTATTTTTATTTTTTCACAATTTATTGTGATTGTGTTTTTTTTTTACACTTGAGGGCGCTGTTGCAGTGTGTCACTTCAGTTGTTCACTGAGTAATTGAGGATTCTTTGTACAACTTATAAACCTACAAAAGCTCACTGCAACACTTTGGTACCGAGTTTGCTAATTGTGTGATACATCAAAAATATGAAGGCATAGTGAATTGAATTTGCCTCAGAAAAAATGCAAATTCCGGTCACAGTCTGTGCTCAAGCAGTCATAAAATTGAAACTTTGCACACAAAAAATATCACTGTTTTCATAAATACAGAAATTTGCTTGACTACAGAGGTCCCAAAAGACCATTACAAGTGGCACTTCGAAGATTAGAGATGAGAGGAAATAGGACACAAAGATGCATTTCATGGATCTTTGACCCTTGACATATGACCCTTTCATCATCATGCTCCAGGCAATCCAGGGACAGACTGGGCCCTTCTCCAGAGACTTTGTGGTTCACTGCAACACCCCAAACACCTGGCTGAAAATGAAACTTAAAAAGCAGAGGACGAGTTGGAGATGACAGGATGACCATTGGAATTAGTATCTGAAATCATATCCGGGGCACTTGAAGACCTGGAAAAATGTCATACGCATTGAAGCCAAGAGAGATTGAAAAAGGGTTGAAAGAAGATTCAAGCTGGGTGGGCTAGGTCACAGAAGCCCTGTCGTAGGGGGTGGGGCTTTGAACTTTGAACTCTTGTAAGAAAAGTGTTACACCCTTCCCCCTTCCCTCAAGAAAAAATGGATCAATCATTGTTGAAAAAGCATGTACCAGCCACTTTGAAGCAAAGTTTTTAAATATCTAAAGAAACCCCCCCGAGTGTATTTTGGTGTCAGCTTAAAAGTGTTCCAAGTCTACAAAGTTAGGGGAGATGTGGTTGTGAGAGGGAGTGCTTTGGTTTCCAAGCAAGTTTTGGTTGAATGTGATTTACAGACAATTCAAAATGTTTTTAGTGTAGTGAACTACATGTAATCTACTGCATGGTGCTTCATGGCTTGTCAGTCAGTCAGGATCAATTCTGGAAAGAACGTTTGATGTAGTCAATTTTATTTCTGACAACCTTGTGTTGACATTCCTTATGTTAAAATGAAGGTGATTCTGCTTTGTGCTTTGTGTGTTTCTGAATGGTATGAGAGTAAAACCAGTGCATTATATACACTTATGTAAATTGCATGGTATAAATAAATTATTTGAATGGGAGAGAAAATTTATATTTGAGTTATTTGATGCAGAGAGAATTATGCATGGAGACAATCTTGTGATGTTACTTAAATGAGATATGTAAAATATCGAAAACATTGAGGTTTATATATGAACTAATAAGTCCTGAGATGTTCCTGGTCTGTATTTTATTTATTTAGTTGAAAGAAAAAGTACAAAAGCAAAATGTAATTCTTCCACTGTGCCTAAATGTTCGTGTCAAGTCCGATTAGGAAATGTCAACACATCTAACACTTTCATGCCTCGCCTTAATATCTACCCTCTTGCTAGATCGAAGAAGCCTTGTTTTGCTTTCTTTGTTTTCATCACAGCATTCAGATGTACAATACAAGCACGTGAGTGCAGCGTGCTAAGGGTGCTGTGTCAGCTTGTGTGCAGTTTTGCAGATTCTTCGAGTGTTTTGAAATCGCAGCATTTCGGTGTTTGACTTTTAATCCACTGCGACTTTTTTTTTTGGTTATCAATGAGACTGGGAAACTTTAAAATGTCGCTCTAAAACTACAGTGACAGGTACCACGTTCAGGTGTGTTTTGTGTGTGCTTTTGTTGTAAATCGGGAATATCGTTGCGGTTTTAACAGTAATTTACACAGGGAAATGTTTTGTCTTGAGTGGTAATACAGGATTGAATGGAGCATATGCTACAATTCCCCGATGCACTTAATCTAACTTCCTGAAATGCAACAACAAACAAAGCCAGTGGACAGGATCCTATCAGTGAAGCATAAATCAAAAAAGGGCTTGCACTGAAATGCTTTAAGATTTATCTTCCAGAGAAAATGAGCCATTTAGGCAAATAAATTTTGGATAGAGGGCCTCTAAGAAAAACTTCTTGTGTTGAGTAGGTTGGAGATAGATTTGCCAAGCATTGATAAGGCTGCACTCTTCCAGGGACAAAATGGCCCGGTGAGAAATACATGTTATGGGATTTTTATTTCCTCCATGCGTCCTAAAAAAGGAGGATTAATCAACATTTTCAAAATTACAATTTTTGCCCCCTGAGCATTAAATAAAGTTTGTGCTGATTTCAAGAACAGAATTTGCATCTGTTGACGAATCCGCTTGGGATTGATAATTAAGTCTTAATTTCCATGCGTTAAGTCTTAGAGTGTGCCGTTTGTTTCATATGCATGGTGATACTTGGAACTTAAGTATTTGGTGTTTTCACAGTTGGTGTCGTCAGTAATTAGAGTCGTCAATATATGATGCTTGAACCAAAGATCTCTGAAATTAAAGATGTGCATGCTTTAGAGTTCTAGTTACCAATTGTGATTTATTCTGGGAATGTTTTTTGAATGATCGCAGAAATAAGCAAGCCGCTTGTCGGTAAAACTTGGGGAGAGGTGAGGAGCAGTCGAAGACGCCCTGTCGGCCCGACCCCGTGGCCCCTCTGCTACAGAACACACAAACTGAGCCCGGCGCATTCCTGTCTGTCAGTCTGCGCCTATGCCAAGTACGCGCCAATGATTTCACAGTGTTGAAATGAGTGCTGGTGTCATTGACCTCTGACCCTGACTCACCCAGCCTACTGAAACTCGATCAGAGCAGTGACAGACAAAATGGTTGTGGCGCGGAGGACCCCGTGCACCGTCGCTGGACTGTAGAAGGAATATGTAACTATTTTCTATCGTGAAACACAGTAATCGATTTATCTCAGTTTTGGGAGAAAGAGACTTGTTTCTCTCGCTACAGTTTGCCTTTCATTTCTTAACAATTTTCAAAACATGATCATAGGAACACTTTTAGCTTAAAAATCTGATTTAAATGATGCCTCTTTGGGGACACCGTATCCTGATTATGGACTGTTGTTTCTGGGCCGAGTAAATAACCAGATTATCGACCAAGAAGCTGCTGTTGTGTTGTCGGACTGTGCTCGTTCAGTCTTACGGTCACCTACCAAAATAAAAAATGTCCAAGTAAAATTTCTAAATCTGGTCGCCCTTTGGTTTGTGAAAAATCTTTATTCAGGTAGCTGGTTCCATGTAAGGCAATGTATTGATTCATGGTCGTTTTCCAGATAAAGTCATCTTGTTACTGCAATAAGTATACTATAAATCCGTGACTCCGGTGACATTCATTTAGGTCTCCTAAATTAGGTAAAAAAAAAATCAAATTAATTTCGGGGTAAATAACGGTTGCAGTATCAGGAAGTTACTGCTTTAAGATAGGTTTATTGAATTGCATGGAATTCTGTAGACTGCACCGCAATGCTCTTTTTATATTGCTGACAAAAAAGTAGGGGTAGTGGAAACCTTATCCGTAGTATTTGGCCGATGGTTGGCGGCAAATCCAGCTTTTGGAGTGTGGGTGTTTGGGGGGGGGAATTCAAAAGCGGATGCGGCTTCGGGCTCATCCAACATGATGTTTGAAGAGAAAAAATATCAAACGCGTTTGTACTCGCGGTCCCAACGGCTTTTATTTCATTTTTTTATTAATAAATATACCAATTTTCTATGAAATGCCCTTCGTAAAAAAAAAATTCCGGGGGGGGTAAGTTACTAAGTCCCCCCCCCGGATACGCCGGGTATTCTAATTCAAAGCCCATAGAGCCCAATGGATTGCCTTTGATAATTCGGACTCCTATTTTTCATCAGATCACACCCTCAGGCCTGGTTTTGCAAGGGGTGTAAATGGTCCTGTCTTGGTTTTGGGTTTGTGCGTTGATGTATGGGTTGACTGGCTTGTTAGTGGCGTAATGAGGGTCCAATGTGGGTGGGTGGGGGGCATTCCATGGGTTTGGGCACAGCATTTAACCATGGAGGAATAAGAACACAACAAAGCCTATGTATCTTCCCTTGTATTCTGGGAAAGGGGACATCGGGGAAAGGGGAACAGGCAGCGGCGTTACTGGAATTTGAGGTACACTTTAGGGGGGACACTTGGGGGTCTCATTTTCTGGAGGGGGTCACTAAATGGGGTTTGTCACTTTTGAAACCCTGACCTAGCCCGACTATCATCAGGTTTTTGGACTTCTTTAATTTCTGAGCGGGGACACACCGTGACACGGGAGGGAGGGGGCACAGGCCTCGACCGGAGGGGGTGCTGCTTTCCATGCTCCTCTCCCTTCGTTACGCCACTGGAACAGGAATGGGGAGCCCCACGACTGATATAGTCATTCCAGTGGGCTTGTCCTAAGGGATATTTTGTTGATTGCCTGATTGATGGTTGTTTGGTTATCACTTCCCTGAGAGAGTGCGCAGTCTTTCTTTGTGTTGATATTTCTGGGGTTTATTGCTGGTCTTGTTTGGTTTTAATCGCACGTAAACCATGCCTTTGCTTTTGAAAATGAGTGACACTTTGTGTTAATTTTGACATGGGTCGGATAGGGTCATTGACAGGCTATGTATTGGTCATCACCCCGATCCTCTTCAAATCAATTTGGAGTGTTTACACTCCGAAAATTGACTGTGCCTCGGGAAAATAGTCCTTGTACTTGTGGTTCCTTGGCAAACACCTAACCGAAAAAAGTCGAGTCGTCTTTTTTTTGACAGTAACTGTGACATGTCCACTGCAAATAAGAGGACGTATCGCTTCCTCACAATAAAACCCGCAAAATTTGTGAATCGTGTTTTGGACACATATTTTACCAGTTTATTTTTTGGCTCTACAAAGTTCACTCTTTTCAGGGAAAAGTGGCTATTTTACAGTCTTATAACTGTAGATTTTTTCCCTACATTAAGGTGTTTTGTCCTCCGTGGTTTAGGCCCTAATTTTTCCTCAGTCCCCGTAAAAAAATAAATAAAAATAAAACCACAACCAGTTTGCTTTCTAGTGTTCGACGATAACTGGCAGGTGTTGTGAGGAGGTCATGTTTGCCAAGCAGCAGTACGTGCTACTGTTTGTTCCCACTTCAGCAAAATAGTTGTGAATAGGGGTAACTTTACCCAGGCTCTGTCCCTGCCCGTAACCCAAATCAAACTAAATGCTTCCCTAAACGCCTCTTTCTTTCTTTTTCCCCTTGTGGTCGCCACAGCACTATTTCACACCAAGCTGACATTGTGTGTTCAACTTGTCAAACTTCAAAATCTTACCTGAGATTCAAGGGTTTTTTTTTTTTCTTTATTTTTCCAAAATCAATTTTGGGAGAGAAATCTTGGGGGAGTGTAGGGTGCACGGCGGACCAGTTAAACTGGGTCGGTCGCCCCATTATGACGAGCAGCAGTCTTTCAATCACGCGGGGGGGACACATGGCTCCCCCCCCCCATTGATTGTCGGAGTTGACAATGACGGGGCCACGGCCAGAGCAAGCGGCGCTGGCTTGTTTGCTGAGCGGAGTGCAGCGGTATTGGCTCTCGGGGTTGGCAGGAGGTGTATCCCCCCCGACCCAACGTGCTGGCCGTGTTTACCCAAGGAAACTGGTGTTGAACAAGGGGTCCAGCACCAAGGGGTAGCTGCACACGCACACGGGCAAAGAAGAACCACGAGCCCGTGTCTTGTGAGTGATTTACCGAGGTCTCCCTCAGTTTCAGAGCACTTCCATGCAGAGTAGGAAAGAAAAAGTTGTAAAATGGTCTTGTAAACGTTCTTGTTAAATTGATTGAAATCGTGTTTTATACCCTGTACATCGCCAGTTCAATGTATCATAAATTCTGCTGAACAAACAGTACTCTATTCCCCAAAGAATAACGAAAATGATTTTTTTCTCAAAAGACCGTTTCGACATTTTTAATGCATCGTGGAGGAAAATCAAGTAGGCCCTAGTGGATTTTATACGTAAACCCATTGGGAGGTAAAGCGGTCAAATGCTGAAGTTTCTTTTCAGACCTTTTCGTAAGTACTTGCTCATTGACTCACAGATGGATTCACAGTATATGAGAAATTTTTGTGAAATAAAAAAAAGAATTATAAGAAAAAACATCGAGCTTCGAATCCTGAATTGGATTGGCAAATGCCCGGCTCATTGATATTCAAGAGCATGCTCCAAAACAGACCGATACTCCTAGAAGGGGTTTCCCGCGCTTTCTTTATTCTGATAAGCTTTAACATTTGATATCTTTGCATGAGTTCATTCCAAATCTTCACCGAAACCTTATGTGGAGAGATGATTACGGTACTTGATTTCGAGTAAGTCGAAACTGATAAATGTTTTGTCGGCACAGATCTTCAGTTTGGTTTGTGCAACAATGCAAATGTCATAAAGGTTGGCTGAGTGACAGCGCTAGCATTCCCAGAGGTGACTTTGCATCCTGCATGCATGCACCTGATACCTTTTCATAATGCCGCTGGGTTACAGAGAGAAAGTGCACTTGAAATCTGTTGCACGCTCTGGGGATTGATTTTAACCAGCTTCATTCAGCGTACACGTAATGTGCCAACTTGACCCCCCCCCCCCCACACACACAGACTCCCACGTACTTCAACCCTTCCCCTTTCCATCTCTTTGCCCCACCCCGTTTCCTTGATTCCCATTTGACACCACGCCCCTCTGATAACCCTTTCCGTTACCGTTACTTTTTAGTTAGGTTGATCTACCTATTCTGTCGCTCATTATGTTGAGATCATCATTTGAGTCTAAAATGAGCATGATTTCCGTAGGGTGACACCCATGGACTGGAGCTTATAACATTATTACCAACAGAGTCGCGTCAAGGTTCTTCCAATTTTTATGATTTTGAAAGTCTTGTCCACTGATTCACGGAATGGGAGGACTAAAAAAAACAGAACCTTTTACATTTTGAAACACACACAAGGCCATTTGCAATCGCTCAAAAACTTACAAAACAAAGAAACAGTGCCCGGTTTGAACGTAAATCTGAAAGAGTTCGCTGCCAACATAAATAGATCGAAGACTTTGATAGTACGTTTAAGGAGCAAAATATCACATAATTTTATACATTCTGTTTTAGTAGAGTTAGGAAGTCATGGTGCTCTGCGATAGCGCTTTCTAAACGCCTGATAACTTGATCACGCGGCATTCAAGAGACAAGACTGTGGTAACGGTAGTTGCAGAGGTTTTTTTTGTTCGGGGCGGAGCTCAAGAGCTTTGATCGCTTCGAAAGCACAGGAATAATGAGATACACACATCAACGTTGGTGGCACACTTCATCCCCGACTTTCTACACCATGAGAGGAATCACGTACCGCCTGCGGATGCTGCGTGTGAAATGACGGATTGAAACAGCGGGGGTTAACAGCCTTTCATTTGGCACTCCTTCGTTTGTGCCATCTTCAGAAATGACATTCAGTAATTGGACGGTCCAAGTCTCATTAGGGCGATGGTATGGGACAGGGCGTCTCTTACCTCCCTCTTAG